CTTGAAGTCTGCTGAGGTCCTGAGTGGCAAAGATCAAATTCATATATTAACAAAGTGCTTTCTTTGTAAAGAAATCTCCCTCACATTTTTTTAAGTGGAGGATTAATATTTCCAAGACAGGAGTTATAAGCCATTTATACTCTTATGTATATTATGTAAGGTCAGATAGTCTTGAAATCTTTTCTTTTACTGAATTCTAATGGAGGAAACTTTTAACTTCCATTCTGGCAAATGGACACATGTGAAGAAGTCATCTACTCTCATAACAACCAGGCTTTTGATGCACTATAGTATTTTTAGGACTACTTATTTATATCAGCAGTTTTTTTTTTTTTTTTTTTTGAGTTGGAGTCTCACTCTGTCACCCAGACTGGAGTGCAGTGGCCGCTCCCGGCCACTGCAGTCTCGACCTGCTGGGCTCTGGTGATCCTTCCGCCTCAGCCTTCCAAGTAGCTGGAACTACAGGCGCACGCCACCACGCCCAGCTAATTTTTTGATTTATTGTAGAGATGAGGTCTTGCCAAGTTGCCCAGGTGGGTCTTGAACCCATGGGTTCAGGCAATCCACTCACCTCAGCCTCCCAAGGCGTGGGGTTACAGGCTGAGCCACTGAGCCCGGCTAGGAGTTTCTTAACTTTTCCTGTGCTTTGGCAGTCAGGTGAAGTGTATGGATTCTTTCCAATGTATACAATATATAAGACATGTGAAATGTATAAGATAAAGTACATCAGATCACAGAGGTACCCATATGTGCTTGCTTGTTTGTTTCCTCTTTTTTTTTTTGAGTTGGAGTCTCACTCTGTCACCCAGGTTGAGTGCAATGGCACGATCATAGCTTACTGCAGACTCAGCAATTTTTCTGCCTCAGTCTCCTGAGTAGCTGGGACTACAAGTATGTGCCACCATGCTCAGCTAACTTTTTGATTTTTTGTGGAGATGAGGTTCTCACTGTATTGCCCAGGCTGGTCTCAAACTCCTAAGCTCAAGTGATCCTCCCACCTTGACCTCCCAAGGTGCTGGAACTATAGGCTTAAGGTACTGTGTCTGATCAAAAATATGTGTTTGTTTCTAAATAACAGGAGGTACTGACTGAATAACTACCATGATTTTTAAGTAGTGATGAGAATAAATGATATTTATTTATTATTTTCAAGTCGGAAGTCTCACTCTGTCGCCCAGGCGAGAGGGCAGTGGCATGCTCATGGCCACCACAACCTTGACCTACTGGGCTCAGGTGATCCTTCCGCCTCAGTCTTCCAAGAAGCTGGAACTACAAGCATGCGCAATCATACCTGGCTAATTTTTCTTGATTTATTGTATAGATGAGATCTCGCCAAGTTGCCCTCAACGTGCTGGGCTCAGGCAATCCTCTCACCTCAGCCGCCCAAAGTGCCTGGATTATAGGTGTGAGCCACCACGCCTAGCCAAGAATAACTGATAAAGATATCCATCTCAACCACAGTGGGATACAAGAATATCTGTGATTATCTTTAGTGAAAAAGTCCTATGTACTGCTACTACTAATTGTATCTGTTGTCTCTGTTCATCACTGAAGGGAAAGCTAAATTTCACTTAGAAGCTAGTAAAAATGAATGTCATTTCTTATCTTAGTTCACAGATCCCCTCCTCTGACTTAAAAGGAAAAGGAACCAAGTAAAGAATCCCTGACGTAAATGGCACTTTCTCTCTCTCTGTCATCTGCTTTGTGAGTCAGACGAGGTTAAACGGAGAGCTGGTTGCTACCTAAAGACTAAATAGAGTATCTACTGGGACTCCAACCTCGACTCACATGTAAGCCTTGTAGTTGTTGCCAATCTTCTGGACCCGGATGTCATATTTGGCGTCGATGAAAGGCTCTGCTGTGGCATAGGTCTGGGTGAGGGCCACCACGCTGGCAATGTCCTGGAAGTCATAGTGGTTTTCCACTTTTACCTAATGTTGAAACAACGCAAGAGGGAGAAAGGGAGACACACACTGAGAAGTCACAAGAGCCCTGAGCCTCTAAAACCATCAAGATGTTTCCAGTCCAGACACAAACCTGAGTGCCGCATCTCCCGAAGAGGCCCCTTCTCCCTAGCTTCCCTTCCCAGGGCTCAGGGGCCATACTTGCTGCAAAGGACCCAACAGACCAAGGAGGTGACCTACACTCTGTTTGTTCAAAGAGATGTGGTTGGTCACACTCATGACTATAGAAGGGCCAAGTCTTCTCCTTGGAAATAATTCATCAGTAACAGAGGAAGAAGAGCAGTTCACAAACAGGTTCTCTGAAAAATGCCCACCTTGGCTCAACCCAAAGCACGGCAGGCCCTCTGCCTTACCTTGCCCATCCCTGAGTGAGCATGGCCAATCTTCACCACCACAGGGAATGTGGGCAGTGTCAGCTGAAAGCAGAGGAAAAAGGAATGAAGTGGTTAGAGAACGTCTTTCTCTCTGTAAAATCCCACAAATAGTTTTCTTGGAACACCCTTAGAAAGTTCTTTAAAGATTAGTCCAGCCGGGGCTCAGTGGCTCAGCCTATAATCCCGTACCTTTGGGAGGCTGAGGTGAGTGGATGGCTTGAGCCCGCGGGTTCGAGAC